AAAATAAAATAAAATAAAATAAAATAAAATAAATCAATTCACTTTCCTGAACCTCTCTTATCTTTAATATAACCCACTTCTAAAAACATCCCACATACTCTAAAGTACCTCACTTCTCTACAGGCTACTGCAATGTAACTAAGCTGCTGAAATATTTCAGGCAAAGACAGCTGGTGGCTCTTCTGGGAAACTTTATTAACATTTGCATGGTGCAAATTACATCAGTTTTAATGACCGAAGGTTTATGACTATTTCCACAGAGTGGTCTTTGCCCTTTGCCATGTCAGCTGTATCTAAATGAATGAACAAAGTAATTTGAAAGGAATTTTATTATTTTAGTGCTTCCCTAACTCATTAGTACTCAAGTACTTAACATAATCTAAACCTGAAAGACACTGTTAAACTCAGAGCAAATATAACCACTATAAAATCATGACAGATTTTTTTTTAATAGATAGTAACCTTCTGCTCAATCTGCTAAATATATTTTTCATGACAGTTAACCCATTGACCACCACACTAAGCACTTATTTTGAAAGACTGTGAAAGATAATCTCTTTACTGACACCGTACAGAGTCTAGCAAGGAAGGAACTCACTGTGGCATATATTGCCAAGGAAYGACAAGCTAGGTACGTTGAAATAGTTCTGCTTTATTCGTGCCATAAAAAAAAATAAACCCACATTTTAGCAACTGAATTTAAATGGCATTTCACAAAAGCTGAACTTGTTTTTTAATAACAGAGTAAAAAAGCTGAACAGAATAACTCCTAAAGAGTAAAAGTGTAGTATTTCTGAGGATTAACCAATTATCTGCTCTGGTCATAGCACTTCAGCTCGTCTCTGTTTAATTTGCTACTGCAAAATAGCAAATAGAAGAATAAATTTATCAGACTAACTTCTATCAGCAAAGTGACATAGTCACTTTGTGTTTAAAATAAACAGTTTATCTAGTAAATCAGCCAAAAGTTTGTTCCAGTTAAAGGTATGATCGTTTCAAACAAGTACGAGCATTAGAAACAGATTTTTGTTTCTAAAATAGTGAAATGTAAAATGGAATAAGAAATAAATGTAATTAGAAGTAAAAGAGCAGTGTTAATATGATTTTTATTTACTGCTTTTTCAAAATAAYTGAAAAACTAAAATATGAGTCGATAAAAACTTAAAACCAAAAGCATCTCTTTTAACTTAAATATCTTATTTTTTACAAAGAGATGCTTTTTACAAAGAGATACAAAGATAAGCTGAAAAAAACCCCTTAAGTTAAATATCTTATTTTTTAGTTTTTTTTTTTCAGCATATCTTCAGGCTACCTTGCAAAGAGCTCGAACTCCACCTACTGGACAGTTACAAAAACTTTTGTTGGTTAAAGAAAAGAGTGTGCTTGAAGTAAAACAAAATCATCTATATCAATATGTAATTCAATTGTAATGAGCATACAAGGCCAACACAGACRTTTTCCAGTCCTTGATGTTAGTTCTCTACACATCAACCAGTCTGAAGACATACTATTTAATCTTCCCTGCACTCAGCCCCAAACATGGGTATGATCTACATACAAAGGTGACTTACCATTGAAAATAAGCTGTAGTAATTTGCCACTGCTTTCAAAGCTGCACATTTTTATCCTTGAAAGCAGTGCTAAATTTTAAACTGTTTAGGCCCATCCATGCAAAACACCTACACTGGACTTCTAAATAGGTTTATTTCATTTAATTCCAGTGTGTGAGGGCACCCTCATGCTGGTACCTCATTTTGGATAATCTGCCAGCATTATGAATCCAGCCAAATATTTTCTCTTCTGAAATATTTTCCTTCCCTTCTGTCAAATGACTCTTTTCTGTTTCACAAAAAAAAAAAAAAAAACACCTTAATAGGGGGGTAGAAGGTAACGGAGATTTTTAAATCATTCCTTCCCACATATCCAAAGAGCGGGCAGATTTTCACTTCTTCCACCCATGGGTCTGTTGCTATAACACAGTTACTCATTCACAAGTCATCTCCCTCCTACCTGCCCATTCATGAAGCTTCTAGGCCAGAATTTCCTGGGCCATGACCACTTGACCCACTTGACCAGTAATGACCACCTACATTAGACCTGCTGGGATAACTAGCCTAGTTATCAYCCATGTCCCCACTTCTCCTTCCTCTCTTCTGTCACTGCCACCTCACCCCACTCCCCACGARAAAAGATAAATAATAAACAAAAATAAAATGCGGATCACCAACTGTTTCCTTAGGTGAATTTTCTTCCTGTCTCTCCTCAGGCTGAACAGGCTGCACATGCAGAGCCCCCAGGCAGCTCCATTAGAAGATGAAAACCCAGTTTTGGAGGCAGCAGCCACCACCAACTCGGAGTGCTGCCCTGAGTTTGCCAGTCAGCTGCCAGCTCTTGGTTCTACAGGTTTTTTCCTGTCAGCCCCAATAAGAACTGAGGCTTAATCTACAARCACAAGACAGCCCGAGTTCTCTCACCCCCAGAACAGCCGTCCTGCATGTACGGAGACTAATGCAGCAACAGCCAGTGTGAGTGGTCAGGAGGTGGGAAGGCAACAACACCCAGCTCTCCCTTTCCAGGGAACAAGCTCCAGGCTTTGCCAAGCACAGAGGCCACCACCGCTGCTCTTGCTGAATATTTAGACTTGTAAGAAAAGCCATCTGTGATCACTTGAATTTTGCTGTGCATATGTTTGGAGTCCCTTTTCTGTAAGGAATGAAGATGAAATTCTTTCCTTTAGTTGGCCTCTAGCTCCTTTCTGAGTTTGTTCCCTTCTGGGATCCCCCTCTCCCTCCCTCTCCTCCTACAAACAAAGCCAACTAAAATACCACCTTGGTTTCCCTAGAGCTCAGTCTGTGTTTCCTTCTGGGCTTCTCTGGCACAGCAAATACTGTCCTTTTCACTGAATGCTGCACTAACCAACCCAAAACCTTTCTTGGAATATTACTGCATACAACAATTCACAGAATCAGAGAAAAAAAAATTAAGCATTCAGTTCTTTACATAAGCCTGCTTGTCTTACAAAAATATATACTCAAAAAATAACCATTTAAGTCTAAACCACAATTCCACCACGCTTTTTAGAAAGAAAGAGTATTCTTTGCAGACTGTTCCTCAAGCTACTGGTAGAGGTATGTCAACTATTGCAGTCGTTTATTGCAGCGACTGACTGTCCAGGGCAGTTCCCCCTGAAAAGTGAAAACTGCAGCTTTCCTAAGTTTCCTGTCTTGGGTGGCAGATGTAACAGGTTCACACCAAACTAAGAAAGGGAAACGTCTCACAAAACTTGCATTTTAATATTTGTTCTTGTTATGAGAACTACTAAGTAGTTTATAATTACTTTGATGAAGCACATCTCTCATTAAATTAAACTACCTGCTCAGAATAAATATACAAGTGTGCTTTCCTATCCTAATCCAGATATATAACAAATTATTTCTTCYTGTGTTTTGTATTGTATTTTACATTATTATTGCATTAAAAAAATAAATACAAAACACCAAGGAATTGAGAGTTCTTTCTGTTTACAACATATCAGAGAGAAAAAAAAAGAGGATTAGGCAAAACTTATGCCTAATACACACAAACAAAATCAACATTAATAATTACAAGCTGTAGAATGAATCTGACTTACTTTTTTTTAACCAAAATCTTGCCATTCAAATATCTAAACATGGTTTGCTCTTTTTACTCTTCATTCTGATAGTGACACTGTTGGGGTGGTGGTGGGACAGAGAGTGATTCACTTCTCTACCCCATTTTGGTGTTCCCAAGCTCTCTAATTCCTGAATACTGTCGTGAAACTTTTTAGATGTAAGTTAAAATCAAACTAAGCTAAGCCAGATTTAGGCCTGCTGCCTTTGAATTAATAAATATCCTTAGTGCAGTAACATCATAAACAGCTCACGTGTAATGCATGTATCATTTTAAGATAAAAGTTATTTTTATTTTTATCTTATTTTTAAGTTAAAAAAAATAAATAAATCAGAGCAAAATACACTGGTAACATCTGCAAGCATAYGTTTTAAACTTCTGAATTGTCCTCTCTTCTGCCTTACCCCGGCACCTATTTTTACACTGAAATTTCTTAACAGCAAGAATTTAACAGAACAGGAGTGTTCGCAGACTTATTATGGAGATACATACACCGCAGAGCTAAGCATGATAACGTCACCTCTCTTCAGGGAGATGCATAAAGCAGAGATGATGCAACTAAAGCACGCCAAGCAGTACAGGGAGCTGCAGAGCCCTGCTTTTGAAGGGGTTCCTTCCCCTCCTGCCTCCCGTAGAGGGAATCTAGCCAAATAACTTATTAATTATGTACCTTGCACTCTCCCCTTCCTTCTCATAGCTACTTGCTGTGTGAAGCATAACAGGTCGACGTTCCTACCCTCTGAAGCCGTGGAAGCCTCAAGGCAGGCTCAGCTCTCGCCACCCAGAAGGGATGCTCAGGGTGCTCACCCGAACGTCAGCGCCTGCACGGTGAGCGGGAACGTGCGGATTCAGCACGCACAGGGGCCCGGCACAGCTTGCCTGCCCACTGTGCCCACACAGAGGGGTCCAACAGAGACGGAGAACTCAGCGCATAGTCACAGTTTAGCACTACAGGCACAGAAGAGTTGTAACAGCTTACAGTATGGCTCACCTCACAAAACTGTACTTACCCTTTCAGTCTGCAGATAAAATTACAAGAGAATTTTCAGTTCTCTACTTCTATCTTATATTGTTTTTACACTCAGAAACAAGGCTGAACACAGACTTCACAGGTGGCAAGAACAGCACCACAGAAAACTATATGTTATAGTATAGTTATAGTTATTAGATAGTATAGCCGAATCAATTGATCCAGTAACAGAGGAAGTGCTTCAAGTGAAAAGAACTCATTTTTTACAAATATGAAAAAATGAATGCAACATCTAGCACATTGCTTAATATTTAAAAAAAAAAAAAGACAATGAAATCCAGCATTTATTCAGCCTAGAGATATAAAGCAACATCAGTACCTGCTGTTTTCTGCCAGATTTGCCCCCTCCTCCTTCAGCTGCTTGCTCTTCCTCACGCAGTCCTCCAGCAGCAGCTCCTTCCTCCTCTTGGCCGCGTGCACCCAGTTATCGTCCGCATCCTCACCCGCACCGGCATCGTCGGCGGCTTCTGCTTCGAACTGCTGCCAAGTGGCTTTGGAGACCTTCTCGCCAATCTTCCGCTTCCACCCGAAAGAAGCCATTTGGAGCACTAGGGAGAGGGACAGAAGAATAAAAAGTGGCTTTGATAGTCGGGCARCTCCATGATTAAGGGGGGAGGAGGTTGCGAGTCGGTTCGAGGCTGTTCAGCCCTATGGGATTGCCCAATGGCTTCCCCCACGGCGCTACCCGGGCAAAGGAGGGGCTTGAGCCTGCTTGGAATGCGATTCCTAAGGGAGGGAAGCCACCAGGTTAAGGGAGAAGGGACACACACTGAAGGCCCCGGGAGCGGACATGGCGGCTGCAGGGCCCTATGGGGCCGTCGGGACCGGGACCGGGACGGGGAGGGAGGCCCGGGACGTGGCGGATCCCTCCCCGTCCCGGCCCCGACGTCCCCGCAGCTTCCCGAGCTCGGGAATCGCTACCTGCCCCGCTTCTCTTCCGCCAGGAAAGCGCAGCCGCCCTTTCACCCCAGCGGCCACAGGAAAGGGAGGGACGGGAAGGGGAGGGCCATGGCGCYGGCCCCGCTTTCCCCGTTCCTGGAGAATTAGGGTTTGAAAACAACAGCTAAAACGTAAATTAATACACAATAGTTGCTGAAATTTGAGAGGGAGATAGTAGAAAAGAGCGTGCACACAGTCCCAAACGCCATGGTTAAGTATTTCATGTTTACTTAGGCTTAAGTCTTGAAAATTTAAAAAGTCATACAGTTATAAACAAGCATTTTTGCATTCAGCCTTGTCAAGAGAGAAAAAAAAAAAAAAAGAAAAAATAAATCAACATAGGAAATAGGCACATCATTGTTAGAGAACAGGACTTGATATCTTACAATGGTAATCAACTGGTCAAATAAAAATTCCAAGTTTGTATTAAACACTCATGTCAAGACACACACGGAAGTTCAACCATTGCACCACCAAGCTGAATATATATTCTTTACCTAGTGAGTTATATTGCATATGGGCAATCAGATATATCCATGTTTTTCAAAAGTCACACTACAAAGGCAAGGTAATTGCAAGTACTCCAACTGGAGTAAGATTGGGAACAYAGAGTAATGAACTTGACCAATTTGCATCATCCGTACCCTTAGAGCCCTGCCAGATTTTTCAGTGAACATGTTTCATAGCCTATTGGCAGATACTAATATGCCTTTAAAATAATAATAAAAAAGGTCTGCAAGATCAGTAGGAAATCCAGAGAAAGCAGTTTCAACACCAAGACTTTTAAAAAGCATAAGAAAGTTGTGCAACAGACAACTGTGCCAGACTCAAATAGGCTGTCAGTCCCCTTTCCTCCCTCCCCACTCCGTATAAAAAACTTCAGCTCAATCAGAAAACTTGTGGCCATCAAAACTGATTTGTCATACCCCAAAAATTTACTTTATTTAAAAGTATGCATACAGTACATATCTCCCAGAAACTTGATTAAACCTTCAGCTACCAAAACAAATAAAAAACATGGTTGCCATAAAGCACAACGGGGTCAAAAAAGTTTATAAAAACTAAAAGCTATTTGCACCTTGACACCTTGCGTTTGTGGTCAACATGACAGATTTGCAAACCAGGAACAGATATCATTTAAGTACATGACAAGATGTACTGACACATACAAGASACAGCTTTAATGATCCCATACCAATTCCAAATGAGGAATTACTGCAATAAAAAAAAAAAACACTGTGCGTTTATGTTTGTACAAGTGCAATATTTAACAATTTCAAAATAGAGGGAAACAAAATAATCACCATGATTTATTCAGTACAGAGGCAATTCTTAGAAGACTAAAAAAAGGACCTCAAAGTAGAAATTGCAGTTGGTCCCTCACGTTAACATCTTAATATCAGCAGTATAAACCCCAAGCTCTATTTAAAGGAAAACTTTCCACCTCGAGAAACAGTAATACAGCCTCGCATTACAGGGACCATATGCAACACTACTCAAGCACAGGTGCCTGAAGTCTTAGCTTTTACCTAGGTGCTAAACATATCACTCAGTTGCCCACTTCAGAATGCAGTGACAACATTCCCTGGGTCCTAAAGACTTTCTTCTCACTCTTTAAGCATTCTTAACAGATGAACTTCTGGACTGAAACCAGCTGCCCTGGGTTAAACTGTCCTTACAATCTTTAGCACTTAGTCATGGATGATGTCTCCAGCTCACCGAAGACATTGGCAAAAATCCCCATCCATTTCAAAATCTAAAGTTTCACTCTATGTTAATGCCTTCATTTCCAGTCTGTAAATGTGTGAAGTCTCTGAACAGGTTCATTTTGAAAAGAACACTTGTTCTTAAAAGACAAAGCATGTTTTCTTGCATACACTTCACTGTTTAATGTTTACATCCATTACTGCTAAATGACAAAACTGCAGATAATACATCCATTTTTAGAAGATTTTAAAATGTTTTTATGCAAGTACTTAGCCATGATTAACATTTGAGGATCATTTTTCTGAAGCACTGCAGACAGATGTCATCAGCAATTGCAGTCTACTCTCAAAAACATTCTGAATAGTAGCACTCAATTATGTCATGATCAATTTTAAGCACTCGACTGACCAGCTGTACTATTTTTATTTAAATGGCAAAACTTAATATAAAGGTGGCTTGAGAAAACTTGACCTATACGTGTGTAGTTTCAACCACAAAGTGAATTCTATACAGTAAATGCTGTGTCAACTTGTGATATAAACAGCTTTATCAGGAAAGTATTAACATTTATTTAAGACTGWCGATTTTAGGCTCTGGAATAGCACAGAGGCTCTTAGGCTGTGCTATTTGCTACATGCACACAGCTCTGAAGATCCTCAGCCTGCAGTAGCARTGTGGAACTGGTTGGATGATATCACACCAAGATGAGAAGTGGGTTCATTCTACATAGATCAGAAGCTTGTGGAGAATTTTCCACAGAGCAACATTTTTGTTTCACCCTTGGATACCAAGTCATCCTTGTGTGAGCTCCTTGTCACACTGCAGCCTCAATTGTTCTGTTTATAGCCCAAAGAATTTCACTCTTAAGTGCTTCCTGAGCATGTACATGCATTAGGACATTTCAACTGGCTGGGTTTGCCAGCATATACATTTGATCAAACCTATGAGTTGTTAAAATAGTAGGTTATAAACACACTAATCTTGATGATTTACTGTCAAAGATAAGGAGGGAGTATCAGTTTTAACACATTACTGTTAAAGAATCGATAGTTCTGATCAACTGAGGCACAATTGTAGATGGTGACCAACAAGACATCTTTCAGTCATTTAACTAGTAAGTGTACATTTACTTACAGTGCATCAGATGTATGTATCACCAGCAAAGAAGTCTTTGTGACTTAAATATTCTATGAAGCCTAATGTGCACTCAATATAAAATGTTACTAACACTGCCCAACGGGCATGCGACTTCCTGTACCTGTATTAGGTTACTGGACAGCAGACAATCAGAATTCACTCCAGCATCAACATACTACACCTAACTGCCCAGAATCATTTCAGTCCCTGTGCAAATCGCATTTTGTGGCTAGTTTTTTCAGCGCCTTAATTTAATTTGATTATAACTGGAAGCATTTGACTATGATTTAGGCATGCTTATTGCTGTAAAAGAAATAAGCCCATCTTCAGAATTATTGTGCAAGTATTTTAATAAGATTTGCACACATCTCAAAAAATTCTATGGTATGACTCCCTGGTCTTGGAGTTAAATCAGCTGTAGAAGAGTCAAGCGAAGAGGTCACTGATGAGGTAAGGGACGTATCTGCGGATTTTCCTTGTGCATCAGCATCTGAATCCTTTTGACAGGATCTATAGTTGCTCACGGAACCTGATCTCTGTGGAGTTGCAGTCCCAGACTTTGCTTCAGTAATTTCGTCTGCAAGAAAAAGGAGGTAAATCAGTTATCAATACCAGATCAGGAACAGCAAACATCTTTCCCTTCTCATCTGTTTAATCTTTGAGTATGCGAGAAGCTTCTGCAAACCGTACACAGTTGCTATGGAAGAGCTCAGTACACACTCAACAGCACTGAAGCACCACGTTATTCCTAATCCTAAATTACTAATATTACTAAATCACCCTAGGATAAATCCTCTCTTCCACAAGCTAAAATGTTCACAGTACCTCTAAACTATATTCCAGGGCTRTTTGGCCTAGTTCAGTCCAGCAAAACTTGACATTTATACACTAATTTCAGTGGCTAATTGTTCAACTACTCTTTTATTCTTGCTTTAAATGCTGAACATTGGTCTGACATCTTAGCAATAAAAATGGTATTKCCAGGAAAATCTAGTTAGCACAAGAAGCGACTGCCCTTTAACAGCATTCAGAAGTGCTTCTAAGTACCATTATACCAGAGGAATGCAGAACAGTTAGCTTAGATCTGCTTCGCTTTTGGAAGGCGCATGTCAAATCCACACCCTTGGGCTGCATTTCTGCAAGAGCTGAAGCTATCATCGCAACAGGCTGCCCTTCCCCAGCTCCATGGCTCTAAATATTCCTCTTCCCTCTACCAGGGCTGGGATTCACCCCACACAGCAGCAAGMCAGGTCAGGAGAGTGATTAGCTCCAGTATGGAGCACCACTGGATCCAAGCAAGCTCCCACACTATCAGAGGGATGAGGCAAGGGCAGCAGCGCTAGGTCAGATCAYGCTAAACTGTCAAACAGTCTTAGCTGTGCTATACTGTAATCCAGACACACTCCAGTAAACTCTTCTCCTATGCCACATGTTTTTATAGGCACGTTATGAACACTGTTAGTGGTACACAATTTTGTTTTTTTTTCTACTATACTCTTAAATCATTATGGACAGCTTGTAGTACCTCCTCCATTCACTCCCATGGAAGTACCCAGTTCAGTTATGTGATGCACCAGTGTCTCAGTCCGTAAGGTTAGAATTTATTCTACAGGTCAACCCACTTGCTTTCAAGAATTCAGTTACTACAAGTGGATAATTTTTGTCTCAAGTTTTGCCTCCTACAGCACTAGATATAAGATATACAACTTGACATCTAGGCACAAAAATGTGATTTCAACTCTACCAGAAGGAATATTCACACACTTACCTCTGACAAGAATCAGTGCTCAATTCCAGGGGCAAGGCCCAACAAGCAGTGTAGGCTGATCTAAATCTAGCCTCTCAAACCTGTGCCCTTTTGCACCAGCAGTCTTAGTGCTGGTGCATACAGGAATCAATAGAGCCTAAAAGCTGTTATTTTTAAACGGATGAACCAGCTAAACAGGTGGGCTCAGACAGTTCTTCCTTTCCTTGTCTGTTGTAAAATACAAACTCAGATTTAGATCAGCTTAAACTGATACAGGGAAGCATTTCTACCCAAGTGAATTAATACATGCAATGGAAATCATTCTGGAAGTAAACGACGCGTGTAAGTTATCTAGTCTTCACATACCATCAATGCTACGGAAGTCCAGCAGGTATGTCCTGCTGTCCACCTGATACAACTGCAGACTCATCTTAGAATATGCACTTGTCACTGGATTCTTCCTCCGAACACGCAGATAGTATGGATTTACAACCTAGTACAGAAGAGATTTGAGTGAGTTTCTACTAAAACTTCCCTAGGAAAAAAAACCATTGCATGAGCTTCTCTCCTCATTTCAACTCATTGGTTACAAACAGGTGATTTCTATCTATCTTTTGTCAGAACATTGCTGGGTTGGGAGAGAGAAGGAAGGGGAAAAACAAAAAAGCACACACACGTACCAGAAAGATGAGACATCAGCAAAACTTTTTCTACCAGCAATAAAAAATAACAAATTGCAATCAAAAACCCAGTGTACYCAAAGGCACACCAGATTTTCCAGTAGAGAAGCATCAAAGAATATAAATTTCCCAATTTCTAGGCTATGTAACTGCTGTCTGTTTACTGCTTTCTGTCGCAAGGGTCCCTTATTCCCTTACCTTCCATTCATAATCCAGTTGTTTAATTGCTCGACAAACTTCAGCCATGATATCATTTGGTCGACTCTGGCTCCGTATTCCTAAATGCCACTTGGCTCTTCTTACACCTTGATGCTTTGATTTCTGTGGATTCAGTTCATCAAGAGTGTGGCGAGGACGTGGTGCTTCCGCTACCAGGAATGGCACTCTTTCAGGATGAGGGCGAGACAGATGGTGATCATCAAGAAAGGAATCTGGTGGGCTTGTAGCCAAGTAGAAGTCTTTGGCCTCRTTCATTATTCTTCTATTATCAATAATGAGGTGATAAGCAACGGCTAGGGGGTCCTGATGATTTCGACTGTATAGACAGCTTAACACTTCATCTTCAGTGCATTCAAATTTCTCACATACTTCTTTTAAGGCTTCATCATCAATCATAGTTGAGCTATATGATGGGTCTTCAGGAAACAGGTATTTGGGAAGGTCCTGCTTAAACCATTCATGTTCCCTGGATTCAAAAACAGGAGACTAAATGTGTGTTCACAGTAAGCATTTTTAAAATTACATTCCTTTGAAAGGGAGTCAAAGGCATTTGCCAGGAGAGATGATGGGGTAGAGGAGAGGAACCCCACACAAACTGTCCTAAGTGTTATAATTATCTGAACTTCTAAAAMACCCTAATGTAGAACTCAGCTTTATACATACACACACATTTGTTTTGAGAGAAATTTTTAACTGAAATTCTTATGCTACACACATTCAAGTAGTTGTGCCCTTCCCACACCATGCATTCATAATATATACTGAAGGGAAAAAAAATGCCGAACAACTGTAATAGTTGTCATAAGTATTCAAATTTATACCAGGGTTTTGTGATCTCCAAGGGATACTTCACTACCCACTGCAGCTTAGAACTAGCAAGACTAAAGGTAGAAGTCAAGTTGTTTTTTTCATCTCACATTCATGTATATTTCTTCATTCTACATATTAATATACGGATTAACAGTTTAGCATCTGATCAGACATCGTTTAGCATTTTACCTAATGTCTCTGATTGTTGCTCTCTTCATTGGATCAACCTGCAGCATGTGTTTCAGAAGACTAATTACAGATGGATTCAGATACTGAGGAGTATAAAAGATACCRTCACATATCTTCTTAAATAGCGTTGGCACATGATCATCATCAAATGGAAGTGTTCCACATAACAAAGCATAGAGAATGACCCCGCTGCTCCAAATATCTACTTCAGGACCTGCGTATAACCTGGGAAAGAGTTAACTGTTAGTGATCAGCACTTAATACATTTTTTTTCCCCATTTGGTTACACTATAGCAATCAAAAGTATGCAAGTTTGGAGTAACGAAAGTTACAAATAGCAGTTCATTTCACAGTCCTATCTTATGTCTCCCTTTAGCTCCAGGGACCTTTCCCTTTCAAGATGTATTAAGGGCTAGAGTACAAATGCACAGTTTCTCTGTTTGTTTAAACCAAAATATAATTTAAACACCAGTAAACTGAAGGAAAGTTAGATCTGCTACTAAGAAAGCTGTGCAATGCATAATTCTGTCAGATTACACTCAATAACAGTCTGCTGTCCTCCAAAACAGGATATATTTTTTATCCTATAAAGCCTATAGCCTATCACCTATAAAGCTGATTTTTGGTCTCCAATAAGGAGGCTATTATGTGGCCTGCAAGAAACAGACTCGAGAATCATGGAGTCTAAAGAAAGAAAAGAAAAAAAAAAAAAGGCAGGGAGGGGAGCAAGTTCAGACACTATCCCCCTTCCTCAGCAGATATTCCACTGCTACTTAATTTCACAACAGATCTCTGTTTGTAATTCTATTTGTGCACCCACTTTCTCTCAGCATCAAGTGGGTCAATTACCCCAGCTCTGTAGCATACAGCAACAGAATGACTGGAGTACATGCACACACAAATATCCAATATAAAAGAGTTACCTGCCCGAAATGACCTCTGGTGCAGCATAGTTAGGGGAACCACAGCTTGTTCTTAGAAATTCTCCATCTGACATCATATTTGATAGGCCTGAAACACAGAAGAGCAACTACTAAAAATGCAGAGAGCAAAACGATTTCATTTATTTCACTACATATACCTCCTAGAACAAGTCACTAGTACTTCCAGGTTAGAAACTTTACTAGTGATCTTCCGTGAGGAAGAATAATGGTTTGGAATGACTGACATTTGGAGAAAAGGGCATATGGCCCTAGACAGAATTTACCAGAAATCTGAGACTAACAGTCCATTATTGCCTACAGCCTAGGAATACTCAAAAACTACATACACTCCAAGACACAGCAAAGGTCTCAACTGCATCATACAGGCATAGCAGAGAACACAACTGCTCTAAGACAGACAGAATAGCACAGCAAGGTAGGATTTTGGTCAATAACAAAGTCTAAATAAATAAATATTTTTCCAAATATCAGAGGGTAAGATGCAACCATAGAATCGTCTAAAACGCTGTAAGAGGACATACAAATCAAAAGAATTAAGGAATGCAAATAACTTTGCTTTGGAGTAGACAGAGTTGTTATACCCTCACAGATCAGACATATAAGCTGCTCCCTTGACTTCCAAGTAAAATACAGTTTACTATAGATTGATCTTAGAGGGTGCATTTAAAAGCGTACTTTAAAACTAAGCCATCTCCATTCACCAGCCCTCAGCATGGTCTCCTTCCCCCATAGCACTAAAGAACTACACCTTTAGCATAGCTGTGAAAAATAATTCCCATTTTTCTCAGTGAAGGTTGCATGCTCAAGAAAACTCAGGCTAAAACAAGGAGGGTGAAAGAACACACATGAACTAGCCTTCACACTCCAACATAAAACAACTTCAAATGAGCTCAACTAATTAACTAGTTGCAATTAGTGTAACATGACTGCTTTGCTAACACTTGATTTACAGATAGATAAAAGTTCGGGTACTTCATCTGTTCACACAAAACATTTTCTAACCAGGAGAGAATCAATATGATTCCCAGTCCCCGTGTACTTGAACACCATACCTTTAAAACTGAATACTGAGTACACATCACCAAGCACCTTTCATCAGGGACCTCAAAGTGCTCTACAAGGGCAGGTATTATTCACTATGTCTACAAGAGAAACACTATGATTACATAGTGGTATGAATATCTCGCTTTATGGTCAGGTTTCCCATTTAAGATATTCCCAAGAACTRGTTACCAGTCTCTTCGGCAGCTGTGTCTAGAACAGCTAATAAAGGCAATAAGACCTTCTGACTAATTGGGCTGTGTGACAGTAAACAGCATAGGAATTTAACAATTACCTGCTCTTACTTTACCTTCCATGATTTACCTCAATTATATTAACCAATCAGTTACCAGGGCAAATGTTTTACTATAACAAGTAACTTTTTACTAGAGCAATGTGGTTCTTAAACCTAAGCATCTGCATTTTACAAAATCACTAAGAGTCAATTTTGAACCAAGTAGTATTGTAGGGAGCTAAGCCCATTCGGCATTTTGGAGAAAAAGAGTTCATTCTGAACTATCTGGTTTAATCTTAAGTTAAATACTCATAGGAAATGCTTGACTTGAAAAGACAGCTTGAGAGAAAAACAAATTCTACAAATGCACAAAAACAATTTGCTTTACATGAATTCTTCAGGTTCACATATTAAATCCAACCATCAAGACATTCAAATATCCTAATTTTACTTCAAAATTCCTATTATAATAAACTATATCTGAATAACATCAAAACAATTATCAGCTATAGAATATAATGCTTACCAAAGTCAGCGATCTTGGCATTCATGTGTGCGTCAAGCAGCACATTTTCAGGTTTCAGATCTCTATGTACTACCATGTGCCTGTGACAGTAGTCCACGCCAGAAAGGATTTGCTGGAACAGACGTCTACTCTCTTTCTCATCAAGCTAAGAGACACAAAAGGTTTTAAACAGCTTTACTCTGAGACACTGAAAAACATCTTTCATTTCTATAAATTAAAAAGCATGGCTCAGCAAAGTAAAGTTTACTATAAACTATTGATTAGGCTTTTTTAAGGCTCCTATTGCAYCTGCTCTCAAATAGCAGTTGTCAAAGCCCTTCACGTGAACATGTTCTAATCCATGTCAATGTTCACCAGGAWAAACAAAAGATCTCCAATATTTGCGGACATGCATCTGTTCTTGGCTTCAGAACAAAACAGTGAGAAAGTATCTTCAACTTAACAACATTATAAAGACAAGCCTTCACTCAAAAATATTACAAAATCCATTACAGAATGTAAGCCATGGATCTGTAGCATTAAGACTACTACTTACCCTTCCATTTTTACAGATATAATCAAATAGTTCTCCTCCTGACACATACTCCATCACCATAAAAATGTCAGTCGGTGTACTGATGACCTGGTATCTAATAAAAGAAGGTTTTCTGTTAGCCCATATATGCACAAGGAATTTATTGTACAAGGAATTTATTAAAGTGAGCTCAAACCAACATGTTACTGGAAAATTCCAGTACAATTCAACTTCTAAGTACTTAYCAGTCACCAATTCATAGTTTCCACAATGCCAATGTTTTTCAGAAGCTATTTTTCTCCTTTCACTACGCAATTTCATTGCAACAACCAGTAGGCAACTTCCTACTGCAGTGACCAGACTCCACACACTTAGAGCTACTCCATCATTCTTGCTCCAGATGAGCACTATAAAACTATTTACAGAGTCACCTCACATAGATCTTATCAGAGCRATATGGAAGGAATTTTAAGAGGACTTCACCAGTGTCTAAGAGCTACGCAGCTTTCCTTCTAATGAGGCAGAAGAACTGTCTTCCCCTGAAAGGAAATAGCGTACTTCAAGACTGAAGTATTCTGTACTTCAAGACTACAGTATTAATGGTGCAGAATAGTTTGTTTTTACAGGATGTCCTCTACGTTCTGAAATAATTAGCTTATGGTGAAATTTCCCAATTCCATATTCCTTATCTTCTATATTTGTTTACTTAAAAGGCATTATAAAGGTACTATATTTCAGGATGCAAATATCTTTGCTGACCGCACACACATGCTATAGAACTGCAGGCAGTAAGGGCTTGTGGGTCTCAGGACAAGGATGAGCTTTTCTGGTTCAAGTGTGGGCACCTGGACTGTCATGGCTTATCTGYGAGCAACCACAGTGCAGGATTGTTCTCAAGTATCTCCACTCCACTGCAGGATCTCTAGAATAAATGCTCTGGCCTGATAAAGACAATCTCCAGTGACATGCAGGTATGGTTGCACAAATAACTGAGTCAGTCAGCTTGCTGTCCCAAAACATATTTCTTCTGCATGACTCTTTTCTGCTTTCTCATATGACCATGATCTTTGYACATTTGCTGACAGACAGATTTAACTTGAAGCTCAGTCCTATCACATTTTAGCAAGTTAGAAATAACAATACAAAGAGATGGATATTACTAGAAATCTCTCACGTCTCTACCCTCCAAAGAATCAGACGCTCTCTGCCTTGTGCAGACCAATTTTATGAAAACACATCTTGAAGGACACTGAGAAAAGCTACACACTCAGAAGTTGGCTATTTTCCTAACAAGACACTGGTAATATTATTTCCCCCTAAATGATATTTCAAATCAGCATGAGTAAAAGAAATTACAGCTTAAGTAGATTTGGTTATAGCAAGCAAACTTACAGTTTAATTATATGAGGATGCCTAAAGAGCTTGAGGTTCTGAATCTCCCTGCGGATTTTTCCTACAACATCCAGGCTGCGAATCTTCTGTCGATTCAGGATCTTCACTGCCACTTTGTGTCCAGTCAACTCATGCTTGCCAACTGCAGGTAACAAACAAGCATTTAGGTAGGCTTTTCTTCTGCTTCATTAAAAAATTATATTGAACTATTTCAATTACATTCAAGAAATACCACAAGGGAAGTGTTTAGATCTCACATGACCTCATTTTCTTGGGGTAAACTGGGAACTAGACCACATGTCATTTTGACTGCCTTACCCCAAATTCCTCCCAGAATTTTACACTTATCAAATGGAAAGGCAGGGACAAATCTTAAATGCAACTCCCATAGGTCTTGCAGCATTTCTGCATTTTTGCACTATTTCAGTGTTCTGTATTCACAAATAGTGCTAATCTTGCTAGTATTTTTCTTGTCTAGTATGAGTCCTTCTAAGCCCTTGGCTGAACAAGAGTATCACACCAAAGCCCCTTTATCACGTAAGGTATGGAGCTTATGCTATGCAAAATGCAGGAAATAAGGAGAATCCAGCAGCAACTATGTTAAACAAGACAAACATGAAATCTCTTCTATAACTTAAACTTAGGAGAGAAATTGAGGTAATGGAAACTCTCCYGTAACAGAGAAACTGGAGCTAGATGTAAAAACACACTCCAGACAGCTGTTCTAAGAGGCTATTCGGTTCTGCTGCTCCTGACTGAATTTTGCAGCTGCTATTGGAACTATCCGTGATTAAGGTTCTAGGAACATTCTCTTTATTCCCAACACCAGATGACAGGCAAGGCAGAAGAGCACTGCTTCCACTGATCAGCAAGAGTTTGCCCCACATTAGTTTTTGCATGCAGTGATTTAATACAACTACTGTTGACAACCCTTTCAAGACATCAGCAGCCACTCTGCTTCCTACTTTTAAGGGCAAGCGAGATTAAAGGGACATCTACATGGTTCTTCCTTCTCCCCTTGAGTGGACTTCAGTAGTTCAACTCTTTCCTATCCTAAGCAGTGCTTCCAAGGCAATTTATTCATATTAGATACTAGTCAAGGGAAAATTCCACAACATGCTGAAGGCTGTGAGACATGTTATTGAGGATCATGTCTACTTTAAAGTCCTTCCTCACCTGCACTGCAGCTTGCAAAAGTAGTGTAAGCCAGTTTTTAATTCCTAAACAGCACTGAATACAGTACTTGCTGACCTGGTTGCATCCAATCACCTGGAAAGCTAACCATGTCCCAGGCTTTTAGCTTTATTTAAAGTATAGTTTATTCACTGGAAGTTGGGATAAAACCTTTGGAAGGAATTCCAAAGGGAAAATGCATTCATCTGCAGGTACTTTTTATACAAGAAACAAAACACAGAAAGCAGAAAGCTCACATTAGTGAGAAGGGCGAGGCAAGTACAGACCCTGGAAACAGAATTAAAAATTAGGCTCTCATATCAGACAGTGAAGCTAGATACTAGTGCTAAATGCCAGGTTCTCTCTTCCGAGTGCAGAAGAGATAGGTCTTTATTCCTACTTTACTGTAAGTGACCCACAAAAATCATTCTTCATTCAACTGATAATTGATGAAATTAGAAAAAGCCAATCAATTTACAAGTCTGATTTTCAACACAAGGCTTTGCTGTTGCTTTTCCTCTGTATTGATCTAAGAAGTGATGCAACTGAGATGAAATTCATGCTCTTGGCAGAGAGGCAAGAACAGTGGGTACCAAAATTAATAATCAGATTATTTTTCAGTCAGACAGCTGCTACATAAAATAATGCAATTAATCTGAATTTCAGCAGGGAGGCATCTAATCCATGAACCACCTAAAACACGGAACATGCCATTGTGGTAGCAGAGATCCTTTCYTTAACCTCAGAATAAGGCATGTCAAAGACGACATTCCAAACTGGAAGAACCGATTCCTTAAAAAGGGCCACAATAACTAGAACTCCAGACAAGGAGRTTCATGTTGCTGAGGAACACAGGGAAAAGCAAACAGTAATCACAAATTCTAGACAGGCCACAAAGGCTCACTCCCTAGAGCGTTAAACTRTAACCCATAGAGAAGGAATAAATTGCTTTTGGACAAAACTGCAATTACAGCATCATTATGGTCCTTTTGTTTTCTTAAATTCAATCAAGATCGAAGTTTAAGAGGAACCCACCTATTTATATCACCAGTACTCAAAATCAAAATCTAGAGAAATATCTTTTATTAACAGAAGACACTAGAAAAGCAACTCTTATACCAATGACAATTCACTGGCATACCAGCAACATGAACTGAGGCAAACCAGGAGTATTTCAAAATACATCAATAGGTTAAGTTAGACTTGACAGTAATTAAGTTGAATTTGTAGGAAGCTGCTTCTTAGAAACTAACCAGAAGTCATTTAGGCATATGAACTTACATTTCATTTTGGTTAGGAATACCAAATTAAGTACCTTTTATATTTAAGTTAGACAGTTTTACAGTTTAGTATTTATATTCCTATATCCCACGTAAGATAAAAAAAAATGATTCATCAGCCCATTACTGCTTCATTTGATTTATCAGACTATCCTAGATGGAAATTAGAATTTAGAACTCAAAATTAGTGAAGTCATCTGTAAGACTTATCATATTTCCTTTCTCTACTATTAAAACTGCCTTGCCACATTAATATTTCTTATGTACCATCATATTAGAACAAATTTGCTAATTGCAAGGAGAAGAGGCACTAAAAGACTGCTCTGGTTTTAAGTTAAGTCTTTACCCACATGCCACAAGACCTTCTTGTAAGATGAAGCACTTAAAGTATCTGGTATCGGTCAATCAGCACACACTGACTGGTAACAGACTGCTGGCTATTTTTTAATTCAGCCTAGAAACAGTAGTGCAAGTAAGACCTCAGAGAACTTCATGTAGATTCTGCAGAAAACTGACAATGGAATGGCACCTTTGAGAGTTTTTCTACACTTTGTTGACAGAAGAGTTGCCTATAAAGGTAGAATATCCACAAATACAAGGAGAGCAACACAAATATTTAAAGTTACTCATCCTAACCCTCAGCTATCCGTCCTGCAAGAAAAACACCGCAACAGAAGTTCCCCTTAAATACTATTTATTCTTGTAATTCTTGGTAATACCGACTGCATGCATTTAAGCTTTGCTAATGCCATATGCAGCACCAACATTTCAAAAATCCTCCCAGAAGCAGTCTCAAAAGGCAAAAACTTGCTGTAAGTGTTTGAACACAGAAGCAACCTTCAGCTCAGTTCTGTGGTCTTCAATCTTACACGCAGCCTTAAGCTCAGTAGAGAGTCGACAGTTGAGACTGAAGATTAGTGGTAACATGTCACAGTCACAGGAAACCTCGTTATTTTCCAGGCATTAAAAGCCAAAAGCCTGCACGCATTGCCTGAGAAGAGTCTTCCGAGCTAAGTCTTCTACAGATAGAAAGATATAAAACCACGAGTTGCTGTGCAAACGCACACTGCTGAGGTGCATGAGACAGCACATTGACCTTCACTGTCCCTTCCTGGGACCTTATCACTGCCTYGATCAGCAAGGACTGCTTGCAGTAGTTTTGAAGTCTGTACAGATCAACATTCTTAACCTAGTTCTGGTGTCTGGAATAAATATTACTGGACATTCATAAACTTAATGAGCATCTTCATTTGTTCTATACAAGTCACTGCTACTTACTCTTTCCTTCATGATAGTTAGCTATTTGAAATATCTGGAAAAAGCTTTGTATTTGGTTTCAGCAAGAAACATTAGCAACTTGTTCCCCCAAGAAGAAACCACAGATCAAAAAGAAAAAATGAGGATAAAGCTAAAACAGGGATAAGTGTTTTACACTGAACACTGTTAAAATGGAAGTGACAAAAAGTGCTTCAAACTACAATTCGATTTTGAGTTCCCTTTTGTCCTACACTTTTTCATTTTGGCGACATTTCAGCTTGGCCTAGGTACCACTGACAAGCCAATTTCTTCCCCATAAACGCCAATACAAGGAACTGACCAAGTGCATTAACCATCACAGAACTCACTGAGGTTAGTCCAGCCAGACAAACAGTTAAACTGTTACYGGCCTGTGGGTATCAGTTACCTGTGAGGGCAAAGGGGCCGCACGGCCCCTGGATTCTCCCCGTGGCCCCCTTGGCTGCGGGAGACCTTCAGTAGCTGCCCCAAGCGCAGGCTCTCCAGCCACCCTCACGGGGCTGCCCCTGCTGCCTGGTCTTACACGTGCACTTTCATGAAGCCTTAAGTTGATCAAACTTAACCAGGTCACACATGAAGTCAAGAAAATGCCCGCTGAACATGTTCACTTCCCCCCCCACCTCCTTTTATGGTGATGAAATCACTTTAGAGTCACCAGTTGAAGTTTTATGGGAAAATGAATGTAGATTTGCTTTCAAATAAAGTGTGCTTAGGAGGAAAAATCAATTAGTCACTGACACAATAACTTCCTCTTCTGAGGTACAGGAACAGAAAGATAAAACCAACACAGTACATCTAGGGACCAGATAAACTTAAAACAGTCCATACGGTAAGTGAGCATCAGTCCATGAACTCAACTGTTTGCATCTCCTCAAGTAGATTCTCAAACTCCTCAGGAAAGGTATTCACGATGCAGGATGATGCTACATCCCCCTACTCCCTCTCCTGAAGTTTTTTTTCATATGGGCATACGTGCACTCTTCACATCATCAACAGTTACAAAGCAGCCTAAAGAACCCTCAACTTCAACCAAATAAAACACAGGTAAAGGGGTGCTGTGGAAAAAGGAAAGCGGCAATAGAACTGGCAACTCAATCTTTTTGTTGTTATTGTTGTTAATTAAGCATGTCAATAAGGCAGATTATTAGCCCTTCAAGCTAATTATACCCACTAAATATAAAGAACTGGAGCAACTTTCACTAATGTCACAGTTTTAGCAGTAGTCCCACCAATTAATGTTCTTTCAGCACTGCAGCTTCAGGCACTTTTTGCCCTTGCAGGAAGGAGCAGGAGCAGCAACGCGGTGCCCCCAGGCGGCTCCCCGAACTGGGAGAGCAAACACGYTGGAACATTGACAGCAATGGAGCTGTAGCTCCCTGCAGTCCTTTGGGCAAGGGGGGAGACAAATGACTTCTGCTCTAACCAAGCAATCCCACAGCAAGGGATGGGGCAATCTGATGTCCACCTCCCACTGTCCTTTACCTCATTTCCTCTGYTCTGAAGGAGGCAGTAATTTCTCAAGACATTAAGTACTTCTGCTGCCTCTTGGGTCACTTTTGAGGCACCCTCTTTCAAGACTGGCTTATGACGACTTTATTCCTGAGATACTGCTTCTTTCCCTGGCATTCTTAGAGATAAAYGCGCTTCTGCAGCATGTTGCAAGCTACTTGCTAAAAAGCAGCCACCAGACAGTTTGTTTCTACCATTAGTGCCCCACGGCACCACTGCTGCACTTTCTACAGCTCATATGAGAGGGAAATGCAACTTCTTCATCCCCTCCTTGCTCAATCATCCCAAGAGATATATCAATATCCTGATCCTACTTCTGGCAGGAAGAATTTAAGCTGAAGAAAGAAAAACAAGCTGCCCAAACATCAGTATTCTCTTCAGAGCCTGGGAGAGCTTATGGAACATACGTACAATGAGAGCAGCTACACTGAATAAAAATATCATGTTAAAAACCATCTAACRCATTAGACAGAACAGGATGAGCCCGTTTTGCATTAATTATAAACATGAGCAACCCGCTATGATAACCATAGTGGTTTAAGCACCACTTGGCTCTCACTTGAGGCACCTGTGAAAGGGTATTTTCAACTTGCATGCCCAKCACTTGAGCAGTTCACAGAAACATCACGACAGTAAAGCACAGTGTGAGCTCACGCAGGGCTTTTTTTCTCCTCCACCCATGTCCGAAGGGATTAAAAGGAGGAAAGGAAACTCCTGCTCCGGCCAGGCTGCCCGTTAGCTGCGTGGCACCTGCAGGGGAGGCTGCCCGAGGCCCAGCTGGGCTCGCGCGGCGTTTTCCGTGCGCGGCTGCCAGCCGCGGGCGCCTTTCCCGGGGATCCCGGGCCCACGGCTGCCTCGCGCCTGTTGCTGCCTCCCCAAGCGAGGAAAGCCGCTCTCCTTATGAGGGCACCCCGGGCCGATGCAGCCGCGGCCAGCGGGGCCCCGTCCCCCAACATGCGCGGCTGGAAGCCCGCGGCTCCCCGGGCCCGCGGCGGGCGCCGCCCGGCAGCGCCCAACGGCCCCAACGGCCCCTCGCGCGGCGCCGGAGCGGGGCCGCACCGCCCTCCCGCCGCCGGGCTCCCGAGGCGGCCACGGCGGCCCGGCGCAGGGGGAGCCCGCTCGGCCGCGGCTGGGCTGGGGCACCGCCGCCGCCGCTCACCCTTGACTTTGCCGAAGGTGCCGACGCCCAGCGTGTCGCCCAGGATGTAGTGGCCGATCTTCACCCGCCCGTGCTCGTGTTTCTGTTTATCCGCCGCCGCCATCTTGAGCCAGGGGCCGAGCTTGCGCATAGCGCGCGGCGGGGCCCGGCGAGGAGGAGCCGCCGCCGGGGGAGGAGGAGCCGGAGGAGCCGCCGCCGCCGCGCAGCGCCCGCCCCAAAGGGCGGCAGCGAAGCGCGCGCTTAGGGGCTGCCGCCGCCCCGGGAGCGACCACTGCGGCTCGCGGGCGCTTCCCCCCGGAGCGGCCGCCTCGAGGCGGGTCCCCGCGGCGCGCGGCGGCGGCTGCTCTCCCGCTCCCCGCGCTCCGGAGCCCGAGGACGGGTCACCGCAGCAACACGAACCCTCTAAACCGCAAATCCTGTCCGCATGTCCTCAGTTAAAAGGCAACGATGGGTGTTTTTTTCTGCTAGTGGCTTCAGAAACCCGATTCAAAGGCCATCCGATATWAMCTG